AAAAAAAAAAAAAGAAAAAATCAATTATATTGTATATGTAAAGCTAACAAGATAGAATTTTAATCACTCACCATTATGATCTTTTGTAAAAGTTCCCCTTAGTTGTCCAAAAGAACTGAATAAGGCTTTATTCAGCTCTCTGGACTTGAACCCTGCAGTTCATGCTTGACTTGGCCTGTCCTCTAATACTAATGGCCCAGGCAGCGTTGGTGAAACTGTGTTAACCAGTGTGACACCACCACACCTTCCCACACAGGCACAGGAAAAGCAAAAACCTTTCAACCCAGCCTTTCTTGGATGCTCTGTGGTTGCAGAGATGGGTGAACACATCACATGCAGGAAAGTACCGGCACCCAGGCCAAAATTCCACTCCCCTTCTGTAAATGGACCTTCTACAAAAGGGTCAGGCTACTCCATGTGACTTCCAGAGGTTTCTGGGGACAACGCAGCAACCCTCAATAATGAGGTTTAATTCTTAGAGATCTCCCTAAAGCAGGCTCTTCATTGGGGTGAGGAAAGGAGAGAGAGAAAGTGGACCTTATCTCCACCCACCCCAGCAACTCATGGGGATGGAATAAAGCAGAAAATACATCACACAACAGTTTGCCTAAACAGTCAAGAACAATGGTTTACCATTTTTTTGGTTCACAGTGTCTTCAAGAATCCACAGATTTCATCAGAACCTCAGCCCAGAAACATATACAAATTTACCTTCAATTTCAGAAGGGTTCACATAGTATGGCCCCACACACAGCCAGCTCACTGACCCCAGATTCAAACCCTGTCCCATCCTCAGACAGAGAAGACCATGGAAGCAACTCTATTCTCAATTCCCTAAGCATTTCTGGCCTGACCGCCAACCATGTCCCAGGACCAGACACAGCAAGGAGTTAAATGCTGGGGTTGGGGTGAGCAGAGGATATAGTATAGAAGGCCAGGCAAACCTCAAGAATATCAACTAATCTGGTCTGATATAAGGTTTCTTCAAATAGGACCCCAAGGTATGTTGTGAGCCATTCTTAGGCCTTGTCCAGGAGATGCCAGCCAGCTACCACTCTCTAATGAGCTGATTAAAAGGAACAAAGAAGGGAGGAAGGACAAAAGAAAACAGAAAAATTGTAATGAGATTTGGAAAATAGTTTGTTCATATAGTTTGTCACTCTTACCCACTCCTCTTCCTTGTGAAATGTGATGAGCTTAGTGGAAAGGAATAAAAGTAGCCTGCGTGCTGCCAGGAAAGCCATCCCTTCCTCTACCCACCACTGTAGCCCTCAAAGAGTCACATCCCAAATGTGTAATTCAGCTATAAAGGTAGGGCTATGATCTGTATTCATGACTGCCCACTGAAGGTATTAAAAATGACTTCATGAAATATCTCAAAACATTTGCACTCTTCTGGTGTTTGTGTTTCCAGGTATAAATACCTTAGGTGATTTTTGTACATAGCAAACCCAACTATCTGGATGAAAAGTAAGGCCTTGGTTCCAATGGCAAAAAAAAACACAGATTTTAAAACTGGATATTCCAGCCTGGGCAACAGGGTAAGATCCTGTCTCAAAAAAAAAAGAAAAAAAAAAAAACCAAAGCATTACATATTTATTTACTTAAATTTAGAGAGTAGGAATGATAGCTCATGCCTGTAATCCCCAGGACTTTGGGAGATCAAGGTTGAGGACTGTTTGAGATCAGCCTGAGCAACAAAGAGAGACCTCATCTCTACAAAAATACATGAATAAATAAATAAATAAATAAATAACTAGCTGGGCATGGTGGTGCATGCCAGTAGTCCCAACTACTTGGAAGACTAAAGAATCACCTGAGCCTGGAAGTCTGAGGATGCAGTGAGCTTTGATTATGCACTCTAGCCGCTGCACTCCAGGCTGGGCCACAAAGTGAGACTCTTATCTCTTAAAAAAAAAAAAAAAAGAGGGTGGTGCCTGGGGCTCAAAGGAGTAGGGCACTGGCCCCATATGCTGGAGGTGGAGGGTTCAAACCCAGCTCCAGCCAAAAACTGCTAAAAAAAAATAAGAAAAAAAGAAATTTACATTCACCTATTAAGCTGCATGCATGAGTATGGTGACATGTAATCCTAGCACTTCAGGAGGCTGAGGCAAGAGGACCACTTTAACCCAGGAATTTGGGACCAGTCTGAACAACACAGACAGAGCTCATACTTACAAAAAATATAAAACTTAGCCAGGCATGGTCGTATGTGCCTGTAGTCTCAGATACTTGGGAGGCCAAGGCAGGAAGAGTCCTTGAGCACAGGAGTTAGAGGTTGCAGTGAGCTATGATGTCACTATACTCTAGCCTGGGCAAGAGACCACCACCATACCGCAAAAAGAAAGATAAAACGAAATGTGTGTGTGTGTATACTACGTGTGTGTGTGTGTGTATGCTACATTTATTATTATGTAGGAGTTGATGTGCATACCTTATTTTGCAAACTATATGATGTTTATGTGATGCATGCTGTTTTCCTGGCCTGTGAGGAAACATCACAGAGCAAGAGAAATAGCCTCACTACCCAGATACCGCTCATTCAGAAAGACAGAAACCATCTAGAAAGCCCAAAACTTAAGATACAATAGTCAAAAGTTGTCATCTGAAAGTTATATACTCACCTCCTCTAACCACCCTCATCTTACGAAAGTTAAAGGGAAATGAGATTATCAAAGGCAACAAAAGTAGGGGGAGAAAAAAATCAAGCTGCTAAAAAATACCACAAACTGGAACATCTATTCCAGAAAAAAAAAAAATCCGAAGCTTGTTGTCATCATAAATCATGTTGTTCTACCTTGTTTTGCTGAGGAAGCCAGAAAGAGGTAGGGAAAAGACTCCCAACCAAGCATCAGTGAAGTTGGCCCTGAAAACTACTATCAGTGTCTCCCCTGGCCAAGATAAACCTAACACATCTACAAATGTGCAAAATGAAAATCCTATGTAGATTTTACACATTCCTTTCAGCTCCAGGTCTATAATTCTATGGACAGTAGACAGACAAGGCAAAAACTTTCTTGAGAAAGAGCACTCCCCTCCCCCCATGGTCTGCTTCTTCAGGTACTCAGACTCTGACCACCAGAAAACTTGCCAATGACAATGTATACCTTTGGGAACATGGTTCTGTCTTTGAAGTTTCTGCATCCTTCAAAGAGGCATGAAATTGCTTAGGCTGATGCTGAGGTGCAGCTTGTGACAGACAGGCATCTATAATAGGGGCACAGTTTTCACAGCTAGGGCAGGAAGAAGGCAGCAGCAACAAAAGATGCCACACTTAACTCTTAGAGAGCCTGCGGTAGGTCTCTTAGCAAACTGGCAGACCCAGGCCACATTACATCACACATGGATCTCTACAGTGGTTTCAATTAAAAAAAAAAAAAATCAGGTACCACTACTTTAAAAGTAAGGTATATCATGCAAAGGCCAGGATTCTTTAAAAGACTGAGCAACTACAAGCTGGAGCTTAGGGGACCCTGACCCCCAAAAGAGAGACAGTGAAGCTCTCCAGGTCCTGACCAATTTCACCACTTTAAGTTACATTCCCAGCTTTGGGGATAAGAGTTTGTGATCTCTTATTCTAAATCTTTTCCAGTGGCCATTATTCATCCATTAACTGTGAGTAATAACATCCCAAGGTGTTTGGGTTCTCAAAAAAAGAAATTGTCAAAGCATTATGCAAATAAGCATTATTATAATATCCACATAACAGGCTTCTGAAAAGCCTTCTTTTAGGAAAATTTACCCCCAAAAGCTGTAAAGATGCATTTAAACACACCTTAGACTTAATTTTCCAAGCCATTCAAGTATCTGTCAAACTGATTTGAGCGCTTTTATCAATTTGAAAAGTGCAGAAAACTTTCACTCAAGTTTATAGTCTGCTTCCACCTACACCACCAGACCCTTACAGAAACTATAACTGCTTCTAATTTGTCTTCACAGCTCAATATGGAACTGATCTAACCAGCAATTACTTTCCTAGCCAAAAAAAGAGGGGGAGGTGACACCTAATCAGGCCGTTACAGGGTAAAACAGAATGGGCCAGACTCGTCCAAACTCTGTCCAACAGGTGGGACGCGCATCAAGCAGCGACTTGCCTTCCAAGAACAAGTCGCGCGGCTCAGTTTTCCTGTGCCTGTGACAGGGGCAACCTTACTTCCTCCTCGTGCCAGGTTGCAGGAAAAATCTAGCGGGAATTAGTAACAAAATAAAACACTTCTCGGGTTTGTTTGCCAAGTTTCTAGAGTTGGTTGTTTTTTCCTAATCTTCAGGAATATACTATAGATATCAGAAAGAGGAGGGAGGAAGGGGAGACACTGGTGCCCAGCATCGTGAGAGGGGGCCCTACGGGAAAAATTGGTACAGGAAACCCGGGCCAAAGTCTTCACATTCTTCTTCCCTGTCGCCCACAGCCTCGCCTCGAACTGCGGGCGCCGAAGAACCCCAGCTGACGACTCCCACCCCACCCAGCCTTCCGGAGGGGCCCGAGCCCGCCGCCGCCCGCGTCCCGCGCACTCACTGCTCGGCCGGACACTGCATCCCGGGCCGCGGCAGCCCGCCGGCCGCCGCCTTCCTGCCCTCCCGCGCCGCCCCCCCCGCCTCTCGCGCCGGCGTCTCCGCGCAGCTGGCGCCCGGCCACGCTCCGGGTTGGGGCATGGCGCTCTGACTCAGGCGGCCGCCAGCGGCGGCGGCACACAGAGGGTTAGCGGGCTCCGAGCGATCCCGGGCCCCACCCGTCGGGGCGCCCGGCCGAGGCCGCTGACGCTCCGATGCCCCGGCAGCTTCCGAGGGCTCACACAGCGCTTCCGCGCGCGTCACCGCGACATACCCCGCGGCCTCTGACCCGCCACGAGGAGGCGTGGCCGGAGGCTGGACCGACGCGGCGTCCCTGCGCCTGCGCGGGCCGAACTGCCGGGGCACTGGTGGGCCCGCGCGGGGCGGCCGCTGCGCATGCTCTGTCTCAGGCTCCTGGGCAAGCTAACTTCTTCCAAGAGGGTGACAGCGCGGGAAAGGAGTGGACAAACGACGGGACTCGAGCTGCGTGAGGAGAAACAAGGCTGGCGTTGGGTGTGAAAGGAGCTAACGCGTCTGCACACTGTGCAGTGTCAAGCGTCGCCCTCCGCTGGAGCGGGTTTTGCTAATGGGGACGCGGGCCGACGGTTGATGATTCTGCAGCTTGCCCTGGGAGTGCCCTGGTGACAGTTCTGTAATAATCTGCCCCCGACCCTGCCGGGCTTTGTCCTCAGGTATCAGGTCAAGCTAGTTGCTCCAGAGCAGGGAGTTCTACTCCTCCCCCGGAGTTGGGGCGGGGAAGGCCAACCGGTTAGGCTTGACCCTATCGAGCCAACGCAGAGGCATTCGTTCTTGGATGATATTCTTCTATATGTAAATTTGGATTTAAGAGGAATGAAAACAAAGTCAGCAAAATACTATACTAACTGAATTCAAAGATCCGAAGCTGAATTATTTCATCCCTGGGAGGGGGGAGCAGAGGAGTAGCTTGTAAGGATGTGTAGCTGGTGTGATGTACGTGCAAAAAGCACCACTCCAGCAAAGAGCAGGACCAAAGTTTGGAGGAGAGGAATGGCATGGGCAAGTCAAAAGCCTACACGTGGTTCAGGGTGGAGCTGTTAGGGAGCAAGAGATTTTACTGAGAAACAAAACTGGAAGAGGGGTGCTAGAGACCAGATCCTGAAAAGCATTTTAGGCTAACTATGGTGCTTGTGTTTAATTCTTTTTTTTTTTTTTATTGAATGGTAACTATGTACATTAATGCACTTCTGGGGTACAGTGTGGGGTTTTCACATGCAATCTGAAATACTTCCATCAACTGGTCAACACAGCCTTCATGTCATTTTCTCAGTTATTGCTTTAAAACGTTCACATTCTACTCTTAGAAAGATTCACCTGTGTTTAATTCTTATTTGAATGATCTTGACTTGAGACTTTGCAGTTAGAGAAAAGACTCGGGAAAGGCAAGACTAGACTAGTAATGGCCTCAAAGTGAGAAACTAGATGGAAAGATGGCTTTTATTTTGCAGCAAAGAACACTGGGTGTTCTTTTATCCTTTAATTTGAAAAAGTAATATACATGCTAAAAAGTACAGAGCATAGAAAAGAATATATATAAAGTATATTTCTTATGGATATTAAGGTGTTGTATTATACAGCATTGTATAGTGTCCCCCCCAAAATTCATGTCCACCTGGAACCTCACATTTTGACTTTATTTGGAAATAGGGTCTTTGAAGATGTAGTCAAGATGAGGTCATACTGGATTAAAGTGGTTCCTAACTCAAATGACTGGTCTCCTTAGAAGAGGACACACAAATATATGGACACAGACTGAGTAAGGCTATTTGGAGATGGAAGCAGAGTCTGAAGAGATGCAGCTATAAAGCCAAAAAATGCCAAGGACTGCCAGGAGCCACCAAAAGCTAAGGAATGGTAAAGAAGGATTATTCCAAAGAGCCTTCAAAAGAGGCTCGACCCAGCCAACCTCCAGAACTGTGAGAGAAGAAGTTGTTTTAAGCCACTGGTTTGTGGTACTTTGTCATGGGGCAACCCCAGGAAACTAATTCAGGGATCAAGGTGGAAAGATTATAAAATTATATCAAGCAAAATGTGTTGACGTGGCCCCCCCAAACATGGTATCAATGTTGTATCTCAAAGCTCTGACAGTTTGTCTTTTCCTATTATGCCTGACGAGCTAGAGAAATTACTGTGGGATGGTTAGGGTGCCCATTGTTACCGAAGTTTGAATGAAAACTCCATTGATCACTTGACCTCTGCCTACCCCAATGTGACTACACTAAGTGAACCTGAAGTGCCAGGACTGCCGAGGTGTCCTGGAGACCAAGGTATCCACAGGCTTCTGGACAGTTAGAATGTATTAGTCATTTAAGATGTGCTCTCTCACTCCAGGAGGATCCAGAGGGGACACCTTTCACTATGTGAGAAATAAATTTGAGGGGATTCCCAGCACCCGTGAAGCTATCTGGCTGCTCTTCTCTTCAGTCATGTATATCTTGCAATGTAAACTGCCGTCATCAAAGTGGGATTCCTAAATGCTTTAGAGATAATGGGATCCCATGGAGGTAGCAACCAAAGGGTGGCACTTAATTGCCAAAAAGTAGGTGGGCATGATTACTATGTCATTGGCCAATTGATTATTGTGTCCCTAGAAAAGAAATAAATGGGCCATCTGCATTCTTACTTGGTCTGTTTAAGTGGAAGAGTTCTAGGTGTAGTGAGCAAAAATTATAACTTGCGTCACCAAAACAGAGTCTCCACCCTTCAGTCAATTCCCAGACTTGAGCCAGTTAACACACTCAGTGCTTTTTGTCTTTTTTTTTTTTTTTTTTTGCAGGTTTTGGCAGGTTTTGAACCCACCACCTCCGGCATATGGGGCCCGCACCCTACTCCTTTGAGCCACAGGTGCCACCCCACTCAGTGCTTTTGAATGAAAGGTAGGCTGAGTCCTCATGATGAAGGCCCCTGCTATGTTGCCAAAAGGGTATATTGTTAATGGTTTTTCCAGCCTTCCCCAAAGGTACTTATGGCCATCTACCAGGGTGACTGTGCGTTTGGGGCAGGGAAATAATCAGACTTTTCAGGGATTTCTAGACAATGGCTGTGATCTGACAGTAATTCGTGGAAACCCAAAACATTATTATGTCTACCCAGGAGTGTAGTGGAGGTTAAGTGATCAATGGAGTTTTAGCTCAGATTCATCTCTCAGTAGAGCCCATGAGTCCCTGGGTCCGTCCTGTGGTTATTGCTTCAGTTCCAGGAAGCATAATTAAGACAGACATGCTCAACAACTGGCAGAATCTCTACACTGGTTTCCTAACCTACACAGTGAAGTCTGTTACAATAGGAAAGGCCACCTGATAGCCACTAGAACTGCTTCTGCCTATAAAAATAGTAAACTAAAAGCAACAGCACATTCTTGGAGGACTGCAAAGATTATACCACTGTCGAGGACTTGAATGTTGCAGAGGCAGTGATACCCACCATATTTCTTTCAAACCACCTATCTGGCATGTACAGAACACAAATGGATCTTGGAGAATGACTGGATTCTCATAAAACTAAATGATTTGGTGACTCCAGTTATACTGTTATTTCAGACATTTTCATTGCTTGGGCAAATCAACATCTCCTAGTACTGGGGATGCCACTACTAATCTGGCAAATGTTCTTCCTGTTTATACGTGTTAGGAAAAAACACCAGAAGGAATTGACTTTCAGTGGCAAAACCAGCGATACAACTTTCTATCCTACTCCAGGGATATATCAATTCTTCAACCGTGTTATAATTTAATCCGTAGTGGCCTTCCAAAGAACTTCATGCTGGTCCATACTTAGAATGATGATATGATGCTGATTAATCCTTGTGATAAGGAAATACTTTGTAGCTATTACTCTAGACATATTGGTAAGATATTTGTATCTCTGAGGACAGGAAATAAATCCCACAAAACTTCAGAGCCCTTATACCTCAGTGAGAGTTCTAGGAGTCTGGTGCTATAGGACATGTCAAGTCATCACCTCAAAGCTGAAGGATAAGTTGTTGGACTTGGCTTCTCCTTCAACCAAGAAAAGAGACAGTGCCTAGAGTAGTGGTTCTCAACCTTCCTAATGCAGCGACCCTTTAATACAGTTCCTAATATTGTGGTGACCCCCAACCATAAAATTATTTGTGTTGCTATTTCATAACTGTAATTTTGCTACTGTTATGAATCGTAATGTAAATATCTGATATGCAGGATGTATTTAGGCGACCCCCTGTGAAAGGGTCATTCGACCCCCAAAGGGGTCGTGACCCACAGGTTGAGAACCGCTGGCCTAGAGGGAGAAGAGAAGACTCTACAACAGATCCAGGCTATTGTGCAAGTTGCTTTTGCCACTTGGGCATGTGATCCAGCAGATCCAATGGTGCTTGGAGTGTCTGTTTCTGATTTAGATGCTGTTTAGAGTCTTTGCCAGGTACTTGTAGGTGAATCACAGTACAAATCTTTATATTTGGGGTCAAAGCACTACCATCCTCTGTGGATTAACACTCTGTTGAAAAACAGATTTGAGGTTGCTGCTGGAGCTCACTAGAGACTGATTACTTAACCAAGGGTCATCGAGTTAACGTATGGCCTGAGCTTAGTGATAAAGCATGTTGATCAGTACTCTCCAAAACTGTGAAAGTCACCAAAAACAAGAAATGACTGAGGAACTATTACAGCCTAGAGGAACCTAAGGAGAGTGGTGACTAAACGTAATGTGGTACCCTGGGTGGGATCCTGGAAGAGAAGAGACGTTAGGTTAAACAAAGGAAATAAGAACAAACCAGGAACTTCACTCAAAATGCGTCAATACTGGTTCATTGTAAAAACTATGCTGTAATAAGGTAAGATGTTAATAATAGGGGAATTTGGATTCAGGGTACGTAGGAACTCTGTACTATCTTCTACCTTTTCTGTAAATATAAAACAATTTTTAAAAATTAAGTCCTTAGTTTTAAAATAAAAAATAAAAGTCAAATTGCCATGCTATGGCTCAGTGAGTAGGGCACCAGCCACATACACCAAGGTTGGCGGGTTCGAGCCCGGCCCGGGCCAGCTAAACAACTGCAACAAAAAAAAGCCAGGCACTGTGGCAGGTGCCTGTAGTCCCAGCTACTTGGGAGACTGAGGCAAGAGAATCGCTTAAGCCTAAGAGTTTGAGGTTGCTGTGAGCTGTGATGCCAAAGTACTCTACAGAGGGCAACATAGTGAGACTCTGTCTCAAAAAAACAAAAAAATCCCCATGACACAACATG